CTGTATCAAACAGAGTTTTCTGCTGATAGAACTTGTTCTTCTCAAGTCAAAAGAAATAGAGTATTTTCATGTGTTGTTTTTCCCTGTTGTTCAGGGATCTTCTTCCCTGGGGTTGCCAGCTGTGTTTTGATAGTCAGATGGGGTGGGAGGTTTCTCCAGCAGCAGATTCTGACATCTTTTTTCCTGTCAAGGAAAGAGCTTGACAGTCATCAGTTCCGTTGCTTGTCAAAAGGGAATCTGTTTGCTCCTTGTCAAAGTGCCTGCTCTGCATTTATTACCTTTGTTTGGATTTCTTTTCTTTGTGCAGTTATATTTCCTGCACACAAGGATTCTCACCCTCTCAACAAAAAGCGCAGTTAGACCCATCAGATGGCACTCCTAGAAGGGATTTCTGGAGCCTGATGATCATCTGTCTCCCTCCACCCTGTACATTTCCCCCTCCTGCCAAGCAGGGTGCTGTGACAGCTCCAAGGACAAGCCATTTATTTCTCTGCCTGTCTGGCCCTGCCACACCTGGCTGTGGGACAGAGGGCCCCTGCAGCAGCTTTATTTGCAGCCTTTCCTTCACTGAAGTCAATGACAAAAATGACTGGTGAATCCGAGGCACTATTGCTTCTCATTCCCAGCGAGCCATGAAATGCTCAGTAGGACATGGCTCACTGAACCAATCGAGTTTTTCATAGAACACTGTGTGTGATTTTTAATTCTGTAACCCTGCAGTTTTCTAAGTGCTGGTTCAGTACTAAATGGAAGATAATCCTGTTTTCATCCGCTAAAATAAAATAATTCTATTTATTGATGACATTCCTAAATTAGTTTATTTGCAAGGAAGAAAAAGCCTTCTCTCAAATCTCCAACTACCTACCATAATTTTTCTTTTTTTTTTAATTATTTCACCTTCTCAAAACATGTTTGGTGATAGTGAAAGCATTGTTTTATTTGAGATTACTCCTAATTTACAATGGTATAGTGAAATTACAAAAATACAGCTGAACTGTGGCTACTGTTTCATGATAAAAAATGTCAGTAATAGCTTAAAACCTTCTTAATACCCCTGTGCCCCTCAGCTGTGCCAACAAAATTGCTTGCAGGGCTTCTGAACTAAGGTTCATTAAAAAGTTGCCAGCCCTAAGTCAAGGAACTGACTGGAGTTAAAAAAGAATTATTGATTGTGATAATCACTAGCACATTCAGTTGCTAGCACAACTGAATGGCTGGCATGCCACAGGCAGAAGAGGGAACAGGAGCAGGGAAGCAGGAATACCTCATGCTGATAGCAGTGCCTGGACAGCAGCAAAAACCAGCCTGTGCTAGATCAAAACTGAGAGCAGGATTGTAACACCCACTGAGCCAATTCTCAATTATCTATGATTAGATTATCTTCATTGCAGATAATCTGTGCCACAAATATAAAACCAACCACACTGCCTCCAGCATAGGTATTAGCTGAAGCCCATGACCGTACAAACATCTCTTGCAAGACCGTGCCTGGCTTGGGAACAATGCATGCACCTTCCTGCAGAGCCAGAAATCATCAATTTTGTCAATCCAAAGTGGCCTCTGTGAAAAAACAGCTGAAGCTTTTTCCTCACTGTGTTCCCAGAACCAGGAGTGACAGACAGCATGCTGCAGTCACACCACATTGCTTCCCCCCAGGAGCAGCTCAAACCTAGCTGGGCTGCAGGCCAGCTGCAGGCGCCTTCAAGTGGAAATGATCCCCAGCAGGCAGGATTGATGTGGAAATGATCCCCAGCAGGCAGGATTGTGGGAGGCCTTTCAGGTCAGGTGAATCCGATACACAGGCACGGATCCGCTTTGGATATCTGACCCAACAAACTCTCCTACAGGCAACTGGGGAGATAGCATTGAAACATCAACAGCAAGAGCCCTGGCCAGTTTCTGGAGGAAAGTATGGGAAGAATGAAAAGGCCAAAATGTCATAGGTGACACCACCACTGAGGTATTTACACCATAAAGTATTACTTGCAAAAGAAAATGGGAAACATTACAATTAGGAGGAGTAGAGTGCTGAGAAGCATTCCATCTTTGGGTCAGCTCCAGCCCAACCGAGCTGCGTGACCCTAAGCATTCAGCTGAAGTTATAAGGTGATTCTTTCCTGGTTGTTTGTCACAGTGCTAACACTGTTTACAAGCACAGTTGTTTCCTACAAACGATGATCACCTCTCAGTGTGGAAGTATGTTTTAGTTCTGGACAGCATTTTTGCAGCTGATTATTCTGTTTTATTTGTATTGCACCATGAAAGTGCTTACCATTTGGGGTGATTTTGAAAGAACATTGTTTCCCATAGAAAAGCAAGCCAACTTACAAGTGAGCACAAGTAATTTGACTTTAATGTAATCACTATCACAGTTTGCCTTTAATGGATGATCAAAAATTCACAACTAATTATTTTCATACTTTGCATATATTCAGATAAGGTGCACAACTCCATAAAAACAAGTTAGCTTCAGGACTTGCAGTTCTGTGTGTCTTGCCTGCCCTGTATAAGCCATACCAAACAAAGCCAAACAAGCTGTTTGCCTGTTCCTATGTTGCAATCTTGTGGAATATCATATTCTCTAGAAGTGTCAATTCCTTTTAGGCCCCAGAGTTGCTCAGATTTCTACATCTTTAAGGGTTTTTTCCATTAGGAAAAGAAATTGATGAAATTTAATATGATCCTTGATTTTAGGAATAATGGACATTACAACTTGATTTATGGAGCACAAAGAAATTCACATGAATAGGAACAATTTATTTGCCTGTAGTTCCCAGACTTTTTGTAGGCAGCTGTATTCTAAAAATCTTCCTTCCAGCATTTCTGATGTCACACAGACAGAATTAGAGCAGCTTCTCAGTGACTTCCACAGTTCTGAAATGATTTCTGAATCCTCAGAAAATCAGCTGAATCTTTGACCCTCCTATTGTCTGCACCTAGACAGTACCCAGGGTGAGCACAATATTTTCTACTGCCCATTATAATAAATCAAAGTTGTAATTATTTCTTGTGGTCCCTGAATGGAAAGTGGCTCTCATGGCCCCTACATGAACAAAACAGTTGAACTGTCCAAAGCCCAACACAGCATGCTCTTCAGACTTCATTTTTTCATATTGTCAAGCAGATCTCTTTGGAATTGTACAGAATCTCTTAGCTTAGCCAGCTAGCACAGGTGATCCCATGTGGCCATGCACTGAAGCCAAGAGAATTAGTGCAGGGATGGATCTGGCAGTACAGCATGTTGAACTGAGTTCCCTTGAGCAAGAAATCAGCACAAATGTACAAATCCAACTGTGTCTGAGGGTTCTGTTTTGCAGCCATCTGTACAGGCTTTTATTGTTAAACAGAAGTAAACCAAATGTTAGATTAAATGCTACTCATTGATTTATGCATCAGGAAGGTAAAAAAAAATACACATAATTATGAAAGCTGAAAATAACTAGATAAAGCTGGTTTGAATTATTAGAAAACCCAGAAAACATTATGTTTCAGTAAAACACTAAGGTTCATCCACCCGAAGACATGTTGACACTGTAAATTAACACCAGAATCCCAATATGACATTTTAAGATAATCTGATCTAAAAGATACAACCAGCTGAAAGCAGTTTGCTGTATGCCAGTTTCTCAGACAAAACAAGAGAGCTGAAATGTTTCCTCCTTTGTAATGATAATAAAATCTTGCATCGTTTTTGTAGAAGAAAGAATGTGCTTGATTACTGTTTGCCAAATCAATAAGTAATTGCATGGTGAAACATACTGCTGCAGAAATCTACCAAGGTCAAGAACTGAGTAAATTCTAAAATGTACATGAATATGAAACTACCTGGAGCTGTGGTTGTTCACAATAATTCTGAAATCCTTTTAACAAGTCATGCTTCAAAGTTAAGAAAATCTTTTACTCCTAAAGTTTAGAGTACAATCCTTCATGGGGATGGACTGATTCTCCTTACCAGCAGCAAGTAATTAATTCAAGGACCTCATATTGCCATAGATGTAGAAAGATACTGACCCAGTCTGATCTCCAGTCTGGTGCAGAATAGTATTTTCTACATAGCAACCTCTGAGCTTCCTGTGATCTCCCTGTTGTTTGGGAGCTGAAGAAAGCAGAGTGGATGCCAATTTCAGTAATTTTTTTGCCATTTTGCTTTATCAGTAACTACCATTTTAAGAATAAGGCACATAAATAATGACACCAATTTATAGATTTTTTTTTTCCCAACACAGTAACTCAACTATGTTTTAATCTCTGCAGTTAGAATTTTTCTTTAAATGCAGCTCTGCACAAAAATTTGATCCACCTTCTGCTTTGACTTGTATTTGGGGTCAGCTTCTGACCACTTTAAAGCAGAGAAACACAGTGAGGGTTTAAGCAGTAAAGTGGTCTCTGATTCAGTCAAAATTGATAATCCCATTAATTAACAACATTATTTTGCCTTTTTAATATTCTTTTAATTGCAAAGAAGGCCACAAGTAGAAGATTCACGAGCTGTGGAGCAATCACCATTGCAGAAGTCATTCCATGCAGTCATTAACAGTTCATACAGTGAAGTGTTCCTGTATCTCCAGTATGCTTTGGCACAGAGCAGTTTCTCTCCACCCCTGCAGCTGTGTGTGACCAGCACAGGATTGTTGGGCAGAGTTTTGCTGCTGTCTGGGTTAGCAGCTCTTGCCTCTGCATCATGGCCCTCACTGTAGAAACCCAGCCAAGAGCCACCTTTTCCAAGACTCTGGGACCAAGACAAGTTTGGAAATGTGACATGGGTGGAGCGTAGCCATATGAGGAAATGAAACCAGTGTCTTCTTCTGGAGATGAGGGAAGCAAGTTAAAACTTGGGACCTCAGTATATGATGCATGCACACAGGTACAGAAGTGGGGTAAGAGTGCTGGTGTGGAAGCATGTATCTTCCTGCACATCCAGCACATCAGTCTGGGGACAGAAGTTTGATCTTCCAGTAGCACCAAATGACTGCCCCAATCCAATGGATTAATCCTGAGAGCCCCTGCTCTGTATCAGTCTGTTTTGTTGTCTTGGAATGTATGCTAGGATGGATAAGAAACAAGTTAAAGTTTACATCCAGGAAGTCAATCACATGCTGAGACTGATCAAACAAGTACCACAATGAAAGAAGGCTCAGAGCCATAACCCCCTGCCATAAAACCTGTGACAGAATTAAGTCAAACAACTGGAGCAACAGGGTACTATAGAAAAAGCTCACTGTGTAACAGCCCCGTTTTAATAAAGCAGACAGGATATGGCACACAACTATTGACTGTAGGGCTTCCCATGAAGCAACTGGCTCTTTAACAGCCCCTGGTTTCCAGCACAGTAAATGCTCTCCATGGGTGGGTGTGTCAGCTGCACAAGAAATGGTCTTTATCATCCTGATACAAGAGCAAGAGAAACTACAGTTTGCATTTACTTAGGGTGGAAGACAATGTACCTTTTATCACATACCCCAAGATTTTAACCATGGCCCCATCTTTGTCTGTGCCATGTTAGCTAAACGGCTGGAAGCAATGATCCTCCCACCACAGTAACAATTTTACAGTACACAGATCATACTCTAACTGGAGTGCATGAGGAAAAAGTTCACCAAAGTATGAATGCTATCATCCAGCATTCACTGGAATTAAATATTAATGTTCCATCAAGAATTTTCTGGAATTAAATATTAGTGTTTTGACTCTACACAGCAGGGACCAAGTCAAGAAGTTGCAGTATTAGATACATGATGGATGGGAGGCCACAGCATTTGTATTAATAGAGATCTAAAACATTCAATCACCTTCTGAGAAAGGCTAGTAAGTGGGTACCAGAATGGCTAAGACACATTGGGAGTTATGATTTATTTCAACAGGATACAAGGAGAGGATTGCCTGTGTGCTGGTGCTGGTGATACATATAGTAAACACATACCCTCTTGGGTTTTGGTTTTAGGTTTTCGTCGGTTTTGGGTTTGTTGTTTTGTTTTGTTTCGTTTTTTAATGAGACTGTACCTTTTAAAAGAGCAATAGGCTGCCAATCTCAAGGAAGGTAAACTACTCTGAGCAACTCAGCAAGTAGATTATATTGGTCCTTCCTGAAGGCTGGAAATACATTCTCACAGATTAGCTCTGGGTCAAGAACTGATAGTAGGTGAGTAGGTGATAATGTTACAGTAATCCTAAAGCCTAAAATTAACTGACTTTAGCTGTAGGTAATATTGGATGGGAACTTGCAAATTATTTTATTAATAAAATTAAGTGGGTACTATAGACACATAAGACAACCAATCAAACTTTAAGGGCTCCTAAGAATTACACACAAATTTTAAACAATGAGAACAACATGATAATATTCAGCCATTTTTCTATAAACACTGCTAATAATCAATAGGAAGTCAATGCAAATAGACACAATTAAGATACTACTTGTTCCTGATTGTGTATCTTACATGCAACTAGAATTGCTTATTCAACAACCAAAAAACCTCTTAACAAAGACACTGTATCATGGATGAGAGCCCATGATTATGGCTCCAAAATTAATGAGATTAACATACATGTGAACTTAGCCAACTGGTACAAGGAACAAGACTTGTGATGAATATAGCATCTTCCTCTATGATGGCTACAAAAAACACACAGCAATAGGATACAGAAATCAAAGAGATACCATGCAAACTTTGCTGGGTGGTATTGGTGTAGGACCATGAACATTGAATTTGTTTAACACAAAAATTCTAGCAAATAAATTCTCAATATTGTAAGAATTGAAGCTGTGGTAACCAGAATTGCAAGCTGGCTACCAACAGCTTTACAAACTTCTACACAAGACTGGCAAGGTACCTGGCACCTTCAGTGACACACTTATCTATCACTGTGGTGCCCATTACTAATGACTGAAACCATACCACAAGAAGCCAGATTCTTCAAGCTAATGCTTTAGCTTGTATTCTATTTCAACTAACTAGCATATAGCAGGTTAGTCAATTTGGATAGCTATTGAAAATAGTCAAAGACAAATCTTAGAAACTATATTCCCTAACTTGATGAGAAGTAAATTCAATGGAGGATGACTTTAAACTATTTAATATAATATTGAGGGTTGCATAATGCAGCTACAAAGGGGTTAACACTGCAGTTGTTAGGAATCTGTCAGATGAGTGCCACTCGTATAAAAATCATACCCTTATGCCTATTTGCTGTCATTCCTAAAGTCTTTCATAAAAATATGTGGATACCTATAGTAGCAGGAGATTGTTTGCATTGTCATACACATGCCATCAATGAACCTAGCCAACACCATGCTCACTGGCTGTCATGCTGAGGATGCACCTGCCTGACCACACCTCCAGCTCAGAATTACACAGCATGGAATACTCCTCTGGTATCTGCATCTGGCAGCAGCTCTCCGGTGAGATGTGTACATGGCAATGGGTTTGAATGTGTGTCTGTATCCACTTTCAAAACTATCCACTTCAAGATACTGTATCCACCTTCAAAACTATCCACCTTCAAAACTATCCACCTTCAAAATAATGAATGTGAGTCTGTATCCACCTTCAAAACTATCCACTTCAAAATAATGTAAGTTTTGGACACAAAAAAATTTGCTGCTGTCATATAACATATGTGGTTTACAGATTTGATTTTTTCTAGTCAACAACAGATTCTTTTTGACTGGAAAAAAAAAGGTGTCTTATTTTGTGCTGTTTAAGACACAGTAACATGTGGCATGACCTTTGAGACACAAGATAACTTCCTCAACAAAAAGCCAAGGTTACCTAACATCCATCTGAAACTGTAAAACTTTTAGATGAAAGACAAATGAAAATTGATATATCATGATAACAAACTGATTCAAATAGTGAAAACAAATTATGCTAAGTCATCTTTGTCGTGGTAAGCAGTACTTCACATCATCAAATTCACAAATTGACAGTAATCTAAATGGCAGTTTGTGCTTAGTGTCTTTTTTGATCAAGAGCATCAGGGTAGATATGAATATTTGCAAATGACACTAAATGGAGAAGGTATAACATAGAGTACTTTCTAGTACGGGTACAACTGGGAAAAATCAGACATCCTCCTATGTGTTTAGATTCCAGGCACTACTAGATTTTCCAGCAGCTGGTAAAACTCTGCAAAACTTCACTGAATGCTGGACAATTTGCTTATCTTAAGTGTTCTACCACAGTATCTGACTGTGTCACAACCACTTAGATCAACCACTTTCCTAACTCACCTCAAACTTTTCAAAAGCAAAATAATGAGGTCTTCCTGAAGAATCCTTTTCACCCAAAAATAAATTTGCACCAGTTAAAGAGAAAATAATGTATAATAATACTTGATGTACTAATTATAACATTCTTGTGTTCTTGTGCATTTGTTCTTGGCTGACCCAAAAGTCACTTATCAAGTTTATCTGACATCAGCTTTTATAAAAATAGAAAATAAAACAAACAAACAAGAATCATTTTAGCAACTTTAATAGCTGTGCCAAAATTTAATCACTTGGGCTGAATATTGCCGTGATGATTGTCTGCTTTGGCCTGTACAAACTTAATTCAAAACTGTTTATATTATATTCTAATAATAACAGCTGTAGAAAAGCCCATAAAGGAGTTAATAATTTCATCTTTAGAACAAGACTTGACTAGCTTGCAGCAAATACAGCACAGTCACACTCCAAACAAAGAGGCTAAAGCAGAATTCTGAATAGCCACTCACTAAATAGAACCATCTAACCTGAATGCTGAACCAGACAGATCCAACTGAGCTCCCTCAAAAACTTGCATATGATTATGTTGGTCCAGGCTGTCATATAGTGTAAACAACCAGCTTTAACTTCAACTCTTTCCAGCTTTTATATGCTTAAACTTGCAGTGTAACACCTTTATATGATTGTGTTTACACTTGCATGCACGCATAAATCCCACAAACATACAAATCAAATAGAAAGAGTGCATCCAAATGGTGCAAGTTTTAGAATAAAGCACACATTACCTGTAAAGGAAAAATTCAAACTATTCACCAAACATGAACATGCAGCTCCACATTCTGTTATTTGGCAGTACCATTCAGGCTCCATAAGATGGCAGACCTGCATACATTTAACAGATGTTGGTGTAATGACATTGCTGTAAATACATTGGTTTTTAAATGGTTGCTTTAAATTGATGGGGCATGTTTTCAATCAGAATGTTTGGAATGTGATATATTTAGAGCTGTAATGAACTCTGCTTACTACCCTGTATTGCCTTTGCCATACACTCTGATGGCTTTGGACATGGGCTACATAAAGCACCTGTAAAAAAATAAAATGTAGCATCATCACTCATAGCTGATTGATTGGGAATTACCATTACTTGATCAATGTAATTCTTTCTAATAAACAAATAATTGTTTTTTATTCCCATTGATTCATTCTAGAACTTTTGGTCATTGTAAGCTAACTCTAAGAATATATTGCTGCCTTGAACACACCAAAGCCTTGAAGTTATCTTTTAAATAGTCTGATTTAAAGAAGACTGTTTGGGGCAACAATGACTTACGTGCTAACTAAAATTAGTATATTTATTTCCTGTTGAATGATGGGATGATGTCACTTCTAAAAGCTTTTTCCAGGTTCTCTGTCATTAACGTAGTTCTGTTATTTGTACAGTCATTATAGTATTATTATAGTAAATTAATACAACAAATTTGTTTTATGAGTCATATTAGGTTGTTCTGGAAAATAGTCCAGAACAAGGTGATGCCTTTAGCAGTGCTTTATACCAATTTCCTTTCCATTTATTAAGACATTAACCTGGTTTAGACCTAACGTGTTCAAACATGAAATTTTCAAAAACATTATCATACTTTAAATGACCAGGTAAGAAACAGAATGAGCTTGCAGTCTGACTTTTATGTTTCACTTTAGCAAACTTGGACTCATAAACATTATAATTACACAGGCATATAATTTTCCCATAAAGGTTTCATTGCACTTGCTCCACTTGGCCAGGATTACAAGGAAAAGCGGTTCAATTGTTTTTAATATTTTGAAAGAGTTCTTTGGAAAAAAGACAGTAAGAAGTTCTCATGCCAGCAGGAAAGCAGTTTGTACTCAGTAGGGCCCTGAAAAGGAAATCAAGATAATTTTAAATTAAAAACTGATCTATTTCCAGGTAACCAAATGGAACAAAGAAAACAAATTACCAAGGAATCTAACTCAAAATTCCTACGCTAGCACATCAAGAATGTCATCCTGAAAACCGTAGTTAGGAAAAAACTTTCACTAGAGTGAAAAAATTGGGCTGTTATGTTCATATGCAAATTTGTAATTTTTTCATATGTAAGCATGCTCTTTAATAATTGCTTAGCAGCAAAAGCTTATTTAAAACACTGCTCCCTGACACATTCACAGGCTTCTTGCTGACTCACTCTTCAAGAATGGGATTTTGAAAAAGAGCAATGAAAACACTCCAGTAACAGAAATACTGAAGAATTTAGATAATGAGTGTCTGTAACCTACTTCTACCTTTAGACACTTATTGTATCAAGCTTCACAGATCTGCCAGGAAGTTCTTGCTGCTTTGAAACCCCCGTCGTTTTTAAAGCAGTCCTGTAAGCTTCTTACTGGTGCAGAGACGACTTTCATTGCTTCTGTTTGATCTATGCTTATTTCAATTAGAGACATACAAAAAATCCCACACAAGTGGTTATGGCATCTCTGCAGCTCCTTATGCAACAGGACTGCACTGGGTTTTGGCCAGGCCCGAGGGGCCGCCATCCCCACATGGATGCACACCAATCTCGCGTGCCTCGGCACAGCTTCGCAGCTCAGGGCTAATTTTGCAGAAGCATCTCTTTTGTGTTGAAAGATTTTGCAGGGTTTCAGCGAGATATTTCGGCGATCAGTCATCACTTCGCCGTGCACATCCTCCCCCAGCTGCCACTCAAGCTGTCACTGGGAGCAGCGGTCTGAGAGACGCTTCTCACACGGGCAGCGGAAGGGCGGCCTGAGCACGTTTGTTCTGCCACAATTTGCACCTCTGGCACCCTGTGTTGTGGAAAAGGATTGAGAAAAGCGGCTTTGTCTTTCTGCCGCTTTTTTACGTAGAAACACTGCTCTGAAGAGGTCACTGGCTGAGGAACAGCTTCTTCCTGCCAGCTCGGGCTCATCAGCAAAGCAGTTGCTATTGCTGCAAGCTGCAGCGGTATGAAGAGACGGCAAATCTTCCTCTGGGACCGCTGCTGATGCTGCCCAGAAGGGCCGGGAGCGTCCGGAGCTGGCGGGTGCTGCGGCCAGCACCGGCTGCGGGCAGCCATTCCCGGCGGGGCCGCGGCCGCCCCCCGGCAGCGCGCTGGCACGCGCAGCCCAGCATCCTCACTTGACGCATTGCAGGTACCGCGCGGCCAATCAGAGGCCCTGACTCTTACCAGATAACCATTGCGGAGTCCCGTTAGCCAATCAGGCGCTCCTTGACAAAGCGCTGCCTCAGAAGTCTCAGCACCGCTTCCGTCGGCCGCTGCCGTGCCGGGCAGCGGTAACCTTCCGCGAGAGCATATAGGTCCCGCCGCCGGCCAGCGGCTGCCTGGCGGGAGCGGCCCGCCGAGGGACGGAGGGAGCCGGGACCGGAGCGGCCGCCCCGGCGCTGCCTCCCCCTCGCTGGCGCTGCAGGACCCGGCAGCGTGCGGGGTGCAGCCCCATCCCCCGGGCAGCAAACGGCTGCTGAGTCCGGCACTGAGCCCTCCCGCTGCGGCCTCGTTGCCTGCGGGACAGTGGTGGGGGAAAAGGGTCCTTGGGGAGGCTCCGGGAGAGCGCAGCGTTTGCGCTGTGCCGCCCGGGCCATCGCTGGTGGGTGTCACGTTAATCGCCATCGGCAGTTCCTGCGGGGGGAGCGGGAGCACGACCAGCGCCGAGCCGAGCCAAAGCCTCGGTTCAGGCGAATCCCAGAGTGTCTCCAGAGGAGCTGCAGAGCTGCCGTGCCAAGCTGGCGAGCGGCATCTGCGGGAGCACAGCCGAGAGCCCTGCGGTGCCGCTCGGGAATTGCAGATGCCGCCACAGCGCCTTCGGGAGCGCCGGCAGGAGCCGCAGTGCCGAGCGGCTGCGGGGCATGAGGGCAGCCCGCTGTCCTACCGAACAGCTCCTCTGTGGCGAGCTGAAGTCCCCAGCATAGGGACCGCTATTCCTCTATATCCTTCCAAACACCTGCCATGGGTGTACCTGCTTGAAAATCCACCTGCTTCCCATACCCATAAATCCACTTCACTCTGAATGCGGCTTCGGTGTAGCTGTGTTTTCATGCCAAAACAATTCTGCCATGCCAGATCGCTCTCTAAAGGATGCTCCCTGGCCCCAGTGGTGGCTTAGGATTTGCTGATTTGCTGCAAGGATCTCAGGACAGACAAAATTCTAGCAATAACAGGTTTTTTTCAAGAATTAAGCTAGATGAGTACTTGGCACCCATAGACCCCTCACAGAACAGAGTTCATTTTTTTTTTGCACAAACCTCTGGGCCATCAGTGCGTCCTGAGAGAACAAGAAGAGACAAAGAAAGATGTGGGAGGAGGAGTAGGAAGATATCTATGTTTAAGTGATTTAACCCCATAATAATAATAACAAAATAGCCTATTTTGAGTCTTTTGCTTTTTGCTTATTTAATGCTGAATATCTTGTTTCAGTTATATTTTAGTTGAGTGGATTGGTGCTCCGTAAGCCCCTAAAATAGAATATGGAGATAGAGACAGCAGAAGCAGAATGGTTGCCAAAGTGAAATGATCTGGAGTGCTGAGCACTGCATCAGCCCACACACAGGCCCACCCCAAGGATAGTGATGCAGTGAAGTCTTAGATGGTGCTCCCTGCTTGGAAAAATGATGTCAGTATTGGCAGACTTGAAACTAAACCAAAGGCTAACCAAAATAAACTCATTAAATGTACTTCCCTTCTATATAGCATAAAACCCCCCATTCTCAAAGTGCAGTGCACCTTTGTGTTAGGCTTGTGCTCTTTAACTGTGCTGCTTCACAGCCAGCACATAACAGTGCACTTACTAAATATAAGTATTCATTTGCATCTAGAATACTTCTGCTACCACAAAAATAACAACAAATAGCCATACTATTGGCTATTTGTGGGGAAGGTCAATGCTGCTTGCCAGGAAAGGTGTGCACAAAGTGCTACATACCTGGGACAGACTGGAATTTTTAGGCATATTTTTATTCCACAGAAGCTGATAGCTTCAGAGTAAAGCAGGCAGAACAGAGGTTTAATTAGGTAGCTGATGTGAACTGTAGCCTCACAAAAATGTGGGGAAGAGTATGAAGTCTCATGGGACAGCTCTACTTTTTAAGTTTACAAAAAAAGATGGCATTTCTTGGTACAATTTCTGGAGTTTCAACAATGATGGGAGTTGCTTTAGGATGGAGATGCATACTCTGGGGGTTGGACATTTTAAGAGTCTGAACTTCACATGAGCTAGTGTCCTCAAAACTAAAAACCTAAAGGTCTACACAAAGAACTGGATCAAAGAGAAACCTTAAGGGGGACATCAGAACCTACATTCTGGAGGCATCAGATGTCCCTGTTCACCAAAAGAATTAAAAGAGATGAGCCCTCAGGAGAGCACTTCCTAGGTACTGCCATGGAATGTTCCCAGGGGAGAGGCAGTCATTGGCTCTTGGACAACAGGTAACAGAGATTGGAATTTATAGTTTTACACTAGAAATGCATCTTCTCCTCAAGGTTGTTGAAAAGCATAGGTTTTTATCTCCCTAGAAGTGTTGATAAGTTGGAGAAGTTATTTCATTATGAGGTGGGTTTTTTACTGGTGCATTCACAACGTAAAATAGCCATCCAAAGTGAAATGATTCCATAGTTTTCTTCCTGTAGGTAAGGCAAAGGAAAAAGTGTCATTTGGCAATGGTGCTGGCTTCCAGCATCTGTAATTTGGGATGTATCTATGCTTCCCACCTCAGGCCAGCTTTGCAGTATGGCAGATTAGAATGCTGGGTGTTTCTTGGATGACAGTATTTGACATCCATTATTAACTCAGGTGGGTTTGATCTTGGAGCTTCTTATCCTCAGATAAGATTCTATCCCAAACTTATTGAAACATCTCGATTCAAGTGTGTGAGGGAAAGGAAGGGAAGAATATATCCTTAACTCATGCAGATTAATATGGATTTATTGACTTCAGGGCATGTTTACATTGCTGAAAATCTGTATCAGAAATTATGATTCTGATTTAAAATTATGATCAGTCTTGAACTGCATATGTGGAGTTGTTTAATTTTTTATCATTAGCTGTAGCTCCACCTGACCCAAAGAAATTCCATTTAATGTAGACCTAGTACAAAATTAAAATTGGAGTTAAGTAAAGGAGGCTTGGCCATTAAAGGAGGTATCTGTGGATTTTAAATACCTGTTTGCCTATATCATATATATTCTTATATTTGTTAAGTTTAGCTGGAACTTCTATTGCAAAACTGATATCCAGTTTGCCCCAGAGGAATATTCAGATGAAAATTAATAACTCACGGTCAATGGGGAGGTATAAACAGCTCATTTAATAATTTCCATCATGTAAAAAAGCAGTCCTAAATATCTGTGAAGATTTTTTTCCTATGTTAAGCAGGACAAACTGACATGAGCAACAGCATTACTGGGGATGAACAAAATAGTTTCCAGCCTTTCTTCAGCACTTTAATTCTGAAGGATATTTGTGTACCATTGTTTATTGTACCATTATAAGCTATATATTAGTTCAAAATGTAGCTAATGGCAACAGCTATTCAGCTTTTATCAATTCTAATGCAGAAATTTAATATATGGAGTATGTAGTATATATAAAGTAAACTAGTGTTTGGCCCACTAATTTTTCCAGCATTTTCTTAAGAAATAAAATGCAAACTCAAGACATTCCTAATAAGGTGAATCTGACCAAAAATTACTTGTTTGTTACATTATATCACTTAAAAATTTGAGGAATCCATCTATTGAAATTAGAAATGAGTTTTATCTATCATTAGAATAATATCATTAGAATAATAGATAGTTAGAATAGATAGAATAGATAGAATAACATCATTCCTTTAAGTATTGTTCTATACAGAATATTTTTTAATGTATTTTATGGGAAAAATATATTACTTTCCTTTGACAGATATATTACCTGGATTCATCATCAGGGAATATAGTTCTTGAATATGTATTTATCAGTGGAAAATCAAGACCTAGGTATGCTTGACAACGTTATGTAAAAATATGTAATACTTAGCAAACACACAATACATAAATATCCTTTCCTCTTCTGCATTTTATTCTTGAAAAATAGTGGATGCAATTCAGCTCTTATCTGTAAAAAACACTAATGGTAACAAAACAGAGAAATGGAGCGAGTGAATTGTTTACATCATGAATCATCCAATGTTTACCTTTCTATGAAACTGGCAATTGCAAAAACTGAGAAGGAAAATCCTGTTTTCACATATCCCAGTGTCTCTAGAGAACTCTTCATAAGACTACGAAGAAAGATTGGGGGTTTTAAGACTGTGTGGAAAAGTTTTGGGTTTTTTCATTTATTTTACATTGCAAATGTTTAAAAAAAGAGTAGGGAAACCTTTGGTTTAAAATAATTGTTTTATGATGTTTAATCTGCAAGATATACATGTGAGATTATATGTGGATGCAAGTTTGTAATTCCCATATTTACAAGTATTTTTAAGACAGGATCTTGAAGGTTCCCAACTCAAACTATGCTAAGTTTAAAACATGAAACTTTTCAAGTTATTGGGTCTCAAGGATGCCATTTTACATAGGTACATGA